ACACACACACACACACTTTATCAACCTGACCTGTGCAGGACTGCGTTTGTGCTTCTTGGCGATATCAGCAATGACTGGGTCCTCCAGCAGCTTACATGGATCTGTGTCTTCTCTTAACCTGTGACACGGAAGGATTTATGAAGACGGGTTAAGAGATGAACAAGGCCTCTGTTGGATGTAGCTATTAGCTACTGTTAGCTGCATATATCTAAAAGATGCAGACCACAAAGAGACATAAAGTTAGCTCTACCAAATGGAAAGAGACAAACTAATATGGGGACACAAAAGAACCACTGAGATAAAATATATCTGCAACCTAAGAGGACCACACCATGTGCATGTGTTTATGTTTGTGCCATGAAAACCATCCTAAATATCAGGATATATTTACATCTATTTTTCCCTACCCCAATAGTCGAATTCCATAAAATAGTTTGCACTTCATCAAAATGAGATCCAGAGTCTGCACAGCAAGTTTGTTATGACCTTTACTTCCTATGAGTCAGTTTACTGGCCGAACTTTTAAAAATATTCAAAAAACATCTCTTTTTTATCTTCTCAGCCTTGGAGATATGTTATATATCTGTATATATAATAAAGGTTTCAAACATTTAAAGAACAAAAAGTTCTCCGTGTCTGTTTTTCTGATTTGGTTGTCGGTGTGGATCATGAGGCAAGACCTCGTACAGTTCTGAGGGTCTCCCAGGTGAACCGAAGGGGCTGTAGGCTGTCAAGGCAATGTTCTTGGATTTGCAGAACTCCATCATATCTGTCTGGATCAGGTAAGGATGTAGCTCCACCTGTGGACGACATGTAAACGTACAACAGTCGAGTCGAGACTCTAAAACGTTTCAGTAGCTCACAATTTCTCACTTTACAGAAAACACATGTGACATTATCACAAGAAAAAGAACATGACACCGGAAGAATCTGCACAATCATAATAATTCAGCTCCGGACTGATTCACCAATGCAGGAAAACAAAGTCCAACTTTGAGCAACTAAATTGAAAATAAAAAATGTTTACTAGTCCTTACTAAACACGGCTTTCCAAAACTCCGCACTGTCGTAAGAAGTCTGACAACTTAGTTCAGGACTGATAGTGACTGACTTAAACAGGACTGATTTCTGGAGAAACTGCAGTGGGATTGTTGCTGCTGCTGGACCTAGCCTGTTATTTGGTGGTTGGATTGGTCAGCTACAAAAGCTAATGGTGTTAGCAGCTGATACTGTTAAAAGGCTTTAAAGAGTGAAATAAACGTTTTTAGGCATCTTAGCGCTGATCAAATTGAATAACCCACTGGTGACTTTTTTTCTTTTTTCGAAAATTCCACAAAACCTGAAGCACTTTTGTCTTCCATCAATAAAGTGGACAACCCTCCACTTTATTAATGGAAGTCCCTCAAGTCCCTCCTGTCACTGTCAGGAGGGACAGACTGTCTGAGAGGACAAGGCAGAAATTTCAATGCACCATATCTCCTTAACTTTAAATTGCTTCCATCTGTGTCATTAAAAGCAGTTAAAGTTACCACGATGACTACATTCTATATACAGCTAGCTGAAAAAATAAGAGATGTTAAATCATTTATTACCCCAAATTCTAGGAAAGTGTGTTACAGCAGTGATGCAAAATACAAAAAATGAAGAGCTCTGATTTAAAATAAATGCAGGGATTGTGATGTGAGGAGGCAAACAGCACTAATGAATTTCCTCAGCAGCAGTGTGCTACCACTGCAATGAGCTGAACTTGTTCCTCACACACAAAGGACGAAGGCTATGTTGGTCTGGATAGGCTGAAAATGAAAGGAAATCCAAAACCACCAATCAGAGTGATCGATTTCAAATCAGCTATCAGTTAAGCAGCTGTTACACTTAGCAATTAATAACTGGCTCAAACAGACTGACAATAAATGGAAATGGTACTCATAAAATGTCTTACACAACCACGTGTGTGTGTGTAAATATTTAGACTTCTTTGTGAGGACAGAAAGTTGGCTACTAAACTTGTGGGGACCAGCACTTTGGTCCCCACAAGTTTAGGCATTCATTTTTGATGGTTAGGGTAAGTGGCTAGGGAAAGCATAATGTCAATGAGATGTCCTCACTAAGATAATGAGTGTGTGTGTAACAGAGAGAGATTAACCTATGCCAAAACTGTAGAAGCACACATTGTGCAATCAAGCCTCGTGTTTCAGACCTTAAAGCTGTGTTTCTGTGATGAACCGTCTGAGGCTAGTTAGGTGCAAAAGCTTTGGAAAAGTTTTTTTTATCTATAACATATAATGGGATTGATTGTAACCGTAGAAACAAATCTCTGGGAACATGCTACATCTTTGTACAAACACCAGTTAATTACAAAATGAACTAGGAGATGTTGTAGAGCTCGTGGAAATGAGCCTTCACAGCTTCAGCGAATGTAAATGGACGCATCTGCAGTACCTGATTGACCGCAGGGGGAACCCTGCACAGAGCGAGGAGTCTCTCCAGCTGCAGGATGCTGAAGTTGGACACGCCGATGCTCTTTACTTTCCCCGAGGCTTGCAGTGCTTCCATCCCCTGCAAACACAAGACAAGTTTTTACAATTTAGTTTGCCTGAAAAAAAATCTGCTTTTAATATCAGTTAGATCACAGATAAAAATGTAAAAGATTGTATAAGAATTTAGTTAAATGATGTATGGAGCTGTATTTATATGATTCACTGTTCACGTCTGGGTCATAACTATTTACTTTGACCATTTTATTATCATTTATGGTTCATTTATCTGTCATTAACATTTACTCATGTGATTATTCAGTGCTGTTATTCAAACAAGCATACAGTCTGTATCTTCTTACCCTCCACACATCTACGTAGTCTACGTCAGAGGTCACCATCTTTCCATCCTTCCTTGGGAAAAGCTCATCACCCATTTTCTGCAGTGAAATTAAAAGTCCATCAGACAGATGGCACATCTTTCCCCACAGTGCACCCTCTTTCAGTTCTAAGGCTTTCATTCCTTTTTTTGAGCAGTGTATTTTTAAATACAACCTGACATGAACAACAACTCCTGACACATTACACCGTGTCGATTTAACAAAACCTAAGCCAGGATGCAGAAGCAGTATATGAAAAACTGCATCCAACGTTTCAGAAGCTCGTTCAGCTGTTTTTAGCAGCAATGACCTTCCCAGATCGATGGGTAGTTCCTCCTCTAAGATCACTGCCGATATCTTTCCTCTTTGGCATTTGTTAAAACACACACCTGAATATTCTAGACCAGCACACTTCCACAACGTCTTCTTTTACAGAGGTGCTCATGCTTGCTGATTTGGTTACCAGCACCTAGCTCCTGCTTAAACACTTAATTCCCATGGAAGCAGTAAGAATCCTCTTATTTATTTATTTTTTGTTAAATAAAAACTGCCTTGAATAAAATAGCCGAAAATAGCAGATGGATACTGCACTGGAGTCTCTGCTTTTATCTCCAATTTGCCTGAATGGGAATTGAATACAAGGTTGACTCCTGAAGGTCGACTATTCCAGAAGATGAACTTATTCTTAAGTCAAAGCAAAATGAAGAATGGCAGAATAAAGGACAGTGAAACTGTCAGAATTGGAAATCTCTGCTCAACCTTTAGGCCAACAGGGAAATGCACAAGATAAAGATCCAGGTAGTCCAGTTGGAGATCACTTAGGGACTTATTGAGGCACACAGGGATGTCTTCTGGAGCATGATGGGTACCCCACAGCTAGAAAGGTTAAAGCACAGCGAGATAAACATTAACATACAGCAGTGTGATGCATAAATCTGGGTACTTTGAAATAATAATTCAATTCATTTTTACAGACAAAGAAAGCCCCAACAATCATATGACCCCCTATGAGCAAGTGCTTTGGCAAAAGTGGAAAGAAAAACTCCCTTTTAACAGGAAGAAACCTCCAGCAGAGCCAGTCTCAGGGAGGGGCGGGGCCATCTGCAGCAAACGGTTGGGGATAGAGGGGAGGAAGATGGGACAAAGACATGCTGTGGAAGAGAGCCAGAGATTAATATAACTATGATTCAATGCAGATGGAGGTCTAAAAAGTAGA